CTGTTTAAGGATGGCCCTCCTCACATTGTCTTCTCCACCCACTCTTCAGTGCAGCTTTGGCAGCCAGATGTGGAATCCACAGTGAATTCCAGCCCGGAGCCAAGGACAGAGCTATTGTTCCCTTTAACTTGTATTTGAACGCACACGGGGCATCACACGTAGGACTTGGGCTTTCTTACCTGGAGCAGTGTTCATATGTGTTCTCATCCCGATCCATTACAAATGCCATTCTCTTTAGCATCTCTTTCTCACCGGTGTTTCTGCTTGTTTAAACCCCTCCTTTATCTTGGAGCTGCTTTTGGAGGAGTAAAAATGAAGGACAAATTTCTGCATTTACAAAGGAATCAGAACCACACAGCTTCTCCCATCTCTACATCTGATGACTAACCTATTTGAAAAAGAAATGGTGAAAGTTATTTCCTCCACAGGTAAAGTTATCCAGAAACAAACGATACTGTTAACCTAATTATTTGCTATGGACTGTTAAAAAGAATAATTGGAATTCAGAAATTATTCAGCCCTTTAAAACTTCAGATGAATCACCAAAGTTCTAATTTTCTGGGACTGCTTCTGTGCCACAATACTACCATGATTGTTTCAAGATTTTATTGTCATGTAATTTATCAAGAGACCCTAAATCATTTCTACAGGAATATAGGAGTGCTTCGAGGTGACAAAACATTGACACAGATAGAACTGATCCATAATCTTTTTAAAGTATTTGATTACATACTAAAATATATGTAGGGATTAGGAGAATGGAGAGATCAGTATGGATTGAAGTTATCGGCAAAGTCTTACAGGAGGTCAATTTAGGATGTGTCATAGAAAACAGAGATTTTGAACTGTGTCCTAAGAAAGTGAAGGAGTAAATATGGATGTGGAGAGAAGATGGGAGATGGGGTTTGCTACTGTGCAAAAATCACCCTGCACATATTTAATTGATGAAGCAGAGACTTATGGAGGCCATTGAAAAAGGAACTTCAAGAACATCTGGATCAAAGTAGCTATTCCAGATGAGAATGTTTACATTTTTTAATGACTCTTCTGGTAGGAATGACAACATGTGATACACATGGACCCTCTATCTTAGACCCTCTTTATATAAATCATATGGAAAGACCTGCATTTCCCATAAGATTTCCCCAGGGTCATGGTTTTTTATTTGTATCTCATATGTTTCATACGCATGACTATTGTCATTTGCACTTGAGACTGGAGTGGAATTAAGAGTGTTGGCTTCTTGCTCTGGCTCAGGCACAGCTGGTATTGTGATTTGGGGGCAGTCGCTTCATTCTTCGAGGCTTCATTTACCTCATCTATAAAATAAGAGGGTGGAATTAGACAATTTCTCTGGCTTCATTTGGTGCCAATGTTTTATGACTCATGATTCCAAGTGAAAATACACCTGCTCACAAGGCCATTTTGCTGGTTTTTATTAGAAATCGTGGCCATAACTGTATACTTGCAATTTACTCAATCATCCACAACATACATAAAAATACATAATCATTCATAAAATCCATAAACACCTTGGATTAGAAATATTACGATTTTGATAAAAATGCATTCAGTCCTCTGTGGTTATTTTGCAGCTTGGTGACTCCTACCCACTTCAGAATTCCAAAGCATGAGATGCTCCCCAACGTCCAACTGGACATCAGTATCCTTGGGCAGCATATGTTAAAACCAACCTTCTCTGTAACTGGTTTTACGGAAAGATGACCCTCCTCCAATGATAAAAACACACTGCCTTCTCTCCCCTCTCTTCAACCAGCATCCAGAATCTGCTAAAAAGTGCTTATCACGGGCCCTTCCAATGCCCCACATTTGTAAATCTCTGAGATGTTGACGTCTCTTCTCATGCTGCCCAGGAGACTGTGTTGGGTCCCATCTTCTGTGTTCTTGGAGGAAAACAGGGAGCACGCAGTTTGTGGTTATGAGCAAAGACAGCCAAGCCCAAGGGCTGCCGCTCAAGCTGTCTCTGTTGCCCGCTCATTGTCTCGTTCCATTATACTTGCACTTAGGAGGACATTTGCCAGATCCAGACTCCTTGGACCCCTGTTATTTGTGTGTCTTTTCTCACCTTCAACATGATCTGGACTGGTGTTTTCCTTTGTTAAAAACAACAAGAACATTCACTGGGAAGCTTTTGCTGGCCTCATTTCAGGTCATCATAGCTATTTATTCTGTGTCATAAACTATAATTCTCCATTTCCCTTACTCCCACGTCAGGGGAGCTGGTGGTTTATGGTGGACAGTCGGTGGAATTTGAGTGAAAGGTGGAAGATTTCAAAGAACTACCAAGAGATTATGTAGCAGGTTATAGGACTAAGAACAAAACATAATATACTCTTGTTCTTGATCACAGTTTGGTAGTACAAAAAGAAAAGGTTCATAAAACAGCATAAAGGATTTAGAATTTGTGGCTATACCTGAGAAAGACTTTTCTCTGAGGGAGGCAAATGAATCATAGGATTGGCTTAATAAGAGATTTCCTTTATGTGAATAAACATAAAAGCCTAGGATCTGTCTAATTGGTCTCAGTCCTGGGCAGGTATGGAAGCTACAGATTTTTTCCAGAACTCTGTTTAATAGGAGCATGAAATATATGTTGTGGTGCTGTCAAAAAGGCCTAGATGACCTAGAGAGACCTGAAGTACAAGACAGATAAAACTGTAGAAAAAAAGATTTGGGAAAGAGAATGAAAACAACAGGAAAGCCTCCAAATACTTAAATACGAAGGAGAACACAGATGTGAGGCCACTGCTGAGCGCTGTTTGACCCCAGGTGTTTGGATTCCAGTGTGGATGTAATTGTAAATGAATTTTGCTGATAGGTGAATAGTGGTATAATCAGGATGTTGGCTGGGATATTCCAGGCCTTGATCGATCCCAGAAATCATGATAATTAAATTGGCTCCATTCTCAGGATGCTGCAGATCTGACATTCTTATTGAAAGTGTCACAGCAACTTCTTCAACACAAGGCTCCTGGTAGAGATACCACAAATAGAAAAAAAAAAAAAAACAGGGAGGTGGTCAACTGTGAACATGACTCTAAAACTGAAAGAATAAGTGTCAGCACCTTCTTAGCGGGAAGAATGGGATTGAGATTGTATGGATTTTTTCAACAAGAACAGTTTTCTAAAGACAAGAAAAGTTGCACATTCAACAAGTGCTTACTATATCTGGGTGCTTTATTTTTATTTTTTTTATTCTTTTTTTTTATTTTATTATGTTATGTTAATCACCATACATTACATCATTAGTTTTTGATGTAGTGTTCCATGATTCATTGTTTGCCTATAACACCCAGTGCTCCATGCTATCTGAGTGCTTTAAATATCCAGAAGAAATGCGCAGTCTCTATTCTAAGCTTCTGTTCTGGGAAGGCAGCACTCATGACAAAGGGATCTCTGATCAAAACCACTTGGAGACCTCAGTTGTCAGGCACTGAGAGATCTGGGCCAGGAGCTCCTGGATATAAGCTACACTTTGAATCCACACCCAAATTTAGAACATGCCCTCAATTTGTGATAATAATAATATTACAGCTCGGATAGGTATCACTTTTCTCTAGGACTTCATGATCCATGCTAGTTGCTTTTTTTTTTTTTTTAAGTAGACTCCATGTCCTGCCTGGAGCCCAACATGGGGCTTGATCTCAGGACCCTGAGATCAAGACCTGAGCCAAAATCAGGATTCGGAGGCTTCACCGACTGAGCCACCCAGGCGCCCCTGGTTGCTTTCTTGAGTGTGTTGTGTGTTTATAGTCAGAGAGGAACAGGAGAGCTCACATGATGGAAAAAATGGCTGAGAGCTACTCTCTATTACGTGTGGAGCAAGGGGCCAAACCCCGATTTCCCTCTATCCTCACTCTCATTCCTCCTGTTTTTCTTTGGGCTGAGAGTCTGAGGGGAGGGCTGTTGGAAGTGTAAGTCCAGTTCACCAGGCCAAGCATGTGTCTTGGGCCTCTACACCTCTGCGCTATAAATCTCTGGGCGCCACATGCCTCTGCAGTGTCCAGGCCTCACAGGGATGTCTTGCTGGTGACGGTGGCCCAGCTGGTGTTCTGCTCAGCTTCACACATCCATCATTCCGGCCTGCGCTGATGCGGGTGGCAGGACTGGAGCGAGTTACTCTCTTATTTCCTTGGGCAGGCTGGATGAGCCACTTGCCAAGATGTCTTTGGGGGAACTGAGAGGAAAACGAGGGGGGGATCTTGACAGGTGAAACCTTGGGGGTCACGATTCCCCAAAGTTTCTGGGTGAAACTGTTTCAGAGATCTTTCAGTTTGGTTCCCTGTACTTCTTTTCTCATCGGGCGAGTCCCAGGCCAATGCTGGCTTGGGTGGATGGTGTGGGAGCACCATCCCTGATCTAGGCTGAGGCTTTGGAAGCTGGCCTTAGCAAGAGCACAGAGCCTTGAGCAAATGCAGTTAGGAATGACTTGGTGTTTCCAGGAGAACACGTGGTAAAACAGGACTCCCTCTCATCAGTTTGACTAACTCCTGCATTTGTGTTTACATGGGTATGTTGAGGAGAAGGAACCAGGGAATAGTTGGTTTCCCTGGTTATGAAACTGTACAAATGAACATAATATAACATAAGACAAAGAAGGTCCAAGGCAATCTACTCTTCTTCCCCCATTCTACAGAAGTCCAGAGAACATGGGTAGGAGTAAGATTTTCCTTTAGTCATCTTTGACAAAACAGGCTTCAAGGAGCATGCAAGAAATGTCTCCCTGTCAGTTCAGGTCTGGTCCCAGATTTAGAAGTAGCAGCCAGACCTCAGAACTGCCGGGGATCCTTGGCCAGTGGACTCAAGAGCACCGATGCCTGTCCTCATCTGCACATTGAATGTGACATTTGGCTCTAACACTAGAGATGTAAGAATGTGAGCAAAGGAAACAATCTCTTACTGTAGATATTCAGCAGAGGAGTGCAAACGGGGACCCGGACGTGACTTTAGCTCCTTAGCATCCATTTCTTCTGCTCCAGATGATCAGCTGAACTCCGAGGAAAAGAAAAAGAGAAAGCAGCGGAGGAACAGGACGACATTCAACAGCAGCCAGCTGCAGGCTCTGGAGCGCGTCTTTGAGCGGACACACTACCCAGACGCCTTCGTGAGAGAGGACCTTGCCCGCCGGGTGAACCTCACCGAGGCCAGAGTGCAGGTAACCAAAGTATTGCTTCAGGAGCACGCGTCGCAGACTGTTCAAAAATGCCAGTCGTTGGTTTCCCACAGGAGCTGCTACTAAGAAAGATTACAAAGGGGCAGCATGAGGACAGAATCAGATCCTAACTGTGTTTCTTTGGGCAGCATAGTATTTGTGTTTTTATTTTTAAAGATTTTATTTATTTATTTGTGAGAGAGAGAGTGAGCATAGCAGGGGGAGCGGCAGGCAGAGGGAAAAGGACGCAGAGGGAGAATCAGGCTCCCCGCTGAGCAGGGAGCCCGACGTGGGGCTCCATCCCAGGACCCTGGGATCATGACCCGAGCAGAACGCAGATGCTTAACCGACTGAGCCACGCAGGTGACCCAGCATGGTATTTTTACAAATCAACTTTAAGCTTTTAGGGGGCAGAATATGCCCTGCTGCGAGCTCACTCCTCATAGCTGCCTGCCCTTGCAGATTCCAGTTACAGACATTGTAATTCTGAGCATTTGACTCTACACCTCCCACCCCAGCTTTCGATTTGAGCTTTAGGGTGGCCAAGGAGATGAATTCTCTGCTCCCTACCTCAGATTTCCTTCTCCGATTTTGGGAGCTCCAAACCTGCAAGAGATTTATTATAAAGACACATGGTTGTGGACACTGGTGGGAGTGTAAATGAGCACATCAAAGACCTCGCATTTAACAACAGAGTTATGAGCATGTTCAAGTGAATGATTTTGTTTCTGTGAAGCGATGAAGGGCAAGGGCATGCAGGACAGTGTAGCGAGAGAACAGCACTCCTTTCTAACATTAATGCCATGACACATCAACTGCAATCCAGACATCTTGAAATAATACAACCTGGGATTAGTAATAATGATGATAATCACCTAATAACTAGCACTACTTGAACCCTTATATGCCAAATGCTGTTCTAAGTCCTTTACATGAACTAATCTGTTTCATCGTCGTACCAGTTCAGTGAGGTGGGTAGAATTCTTCACCTTGCAGATGTGGAAACTGAGGCACAGAGAGTTTCCAGTATTTTACCCAGAGTCACAGAGCCAGCAAGCGGCTCAGCTGGGATTTGAATGCAGATATGCAAAGTTCGTGCTTGTAAGCCCTAGAGTAGACTTTGAATGAGTAAGTCTCCTGGCTGAATGCTTCCTCACGGGGTGCCTTGCTCTCTCTGCTGGAAGTAAAGATCCATTGTCTTCCCTAGAGCTGGTGGTGGGCTGCCGTTTTGATAAGGGTGGGTGTGGATGAGGCCAATCTGTCTTGTTTTCTTGAGGAAATTATTGTTTGTATATTTGTGCTCAGTCTGGACTTGAGGGATTTCTTTCTGCAAGTGACAGATCTCTTGACCGACAGGGACTTTAGCTAGACCCAAAGGGCATTGAGGTGAGAACTGTGTCCATGCCATGAGGTGCGGTATACTATGAGGGACACTTGTTGAGTTGATGGAGAGGGTCCTGGGGGTCCCTTCAGCCTGATGAGAAAGTTTTCCAGAGTTCTCCCCATAGGGAAGCAGTGACTTCACCTAGAAGGGCTCCCCCCAGGAGAGAACAAGAGGTCAGCAACAAAAGGGAAAATTGCCTAGACCCCTACCCCACGTGGGTTAGGCGAGGCCCTCGGCACTGCTTGGCAACCCCTCACAGCTCAGGTGAGAGTGACCCGCGGGATCTGCAGGGACAAGGCTCAGTTGTGCTGTCTCGATTCTGCCTTCCAAAGCACAGCCCTGAGGTTTGCTTTCCCACATCCTCTTCCCCCATGCTGCTAACCACAGCTCTCCAAACAGGCTCTGTATTTCCACTCTGAAATCCCTTCCTCTCCCTTCAAACTCCGCATATCTTCTGTGCCCCAGGCTTGGCCTGCTGCAGTGTAATGAGTAATTTTAGACCAACAACCCACAGTACCTTGAAACACCACTTTGGCCTGGTGATCTGAATTGTAAATAAGGACACATGGATGGGACAATGCGAGACATTTTTTTTTTTTAATGTGAAAGAGCAGTTTGCGAGCTGGTCTTTCCCCCCTTACAATAGACAAATGCTTTTTTACACGTTGAAACTATTTTCTCTTCCTCCTTTCTCACCCTACTATGTTCTAATCCCTCTCGGGGCTGTGGACATTTCATATGTGTGTGGACAGAATTCTCCCTCCACCACGTTATTCTTCCTCCATGAAGTTTACCCTTCCCCAGTCTGCACCGTTCCCTTCTGACCCTGGCCTTCTTTATGGCATTTATCACAACACAACACCTATTATATTGAGTTGTATGTGAGCCAATTTCCCCAACTAGTTTGTGAACCCTCTTGGATGGAGGCCATATCTTATCATTTTTGCAAAATTCATTTTTTTCCCTCTTTCTTTTTCCTCTTATTTTTCTCCCCCTCAAACATCTATCAAACACCTATTATACTCTTGGAACCGTTTCAGTTTGCTGGGGATGAGTAAGACACTGGCCCTCTCCTGAAGGGTGCTGTAGACTGGAGACAGAGAAGATAAATATGCATGCCATACTGTTATGACATATAAGATGATTCCCATACTTAAGGAATATATGAGAATTCATGATAGACCAGAGGAAGGAATGATCAAATCTGCCTGGGGAAAAGGGGGCGGAAATACACACATATTAAATACACCCATTCTGTGCCAACTCTCATGACAGCCCTGTGAATATTATTGTCTCCGTGTGGTTCGGAGACAAAGGATCAGAGGCACTAAATAACTATTCAATGACAAAATTTCAAAGTAGTGGAACCAGTATTTTGATCCAACTCCATTAGATTTTAAAGTCACATTCTTTCCACTACAACCGCTTACAAAAGAGATGATATTAAAGTCAAATCTTGAAAAAGCAAGTCTTTGGACACCTGGACAAAGAGGGGGAGACTATCACAGACAGAGGGAGCCTTTGGTGTGGGAAATAACTGGATGCATCTGAGAGTCTCAAGCCCAGGGTAGGAACTGGAATGATGGAGGGCCAGTGCATGAGGTCCAAGTGATGCAGGACGTGGCCGGGTTGGTGGACCAAGAGCTAATTCCTGAACAGCCTTTGTTCTATGGTAAGAAGTTTTGATTTTATTCTGTGAGCGATGGAGAACCAGTGGATAATATAAAGCAAGGCACTGATAGACCCCTTTGCATTTAAAATGATCAAAGAAATAGTAATGCCAAGGACATGTGAGAAACAAAAGAGCTGGGCGTGTGCGGAGCCAGAAAGTGAGGACCGGATTCTCCTTCCCTGATTTCTGCCTGTCCCTTGCATAGGCACGACACACGGGGCACCAGCCATGTGGTATTTTACACCAGTGTTGCTCCCAGAAGCTGTAACACTGTCCCACTCCACACCACACAATGTCTTTCTGCCGTGCCTTGCCCTGTGTTTTCCATAATTGCACCTAAAAGACTTGTTTTGCAGTTTTTCAAATTTACCTGCCTGTCTTCTCTTAATAGACTGTGAGCTGCTTATGAGCAGAGAATTAGTCTCATGTCTCTACTCCCAGCAATTAGCACAGACTCTGGAACTCGGCAGGGACCCCATAAAGATTTCTTGAACGAGTAAACGATTGAAGGAAATTCCGTGGCACTCTGGAGGACTTGTATGGTCATGAGCCAGCTGTCCTCAAGCACAGAAACTTAGCCATTGATTATCTGAGTGAACTTCAACAGATGACTTAATCTCATCGAACATGTTTCTTCAACTCTGAAATAGAAAAAGTAAAACCTAATGTACAGAATGGGCACGACAAGTAGAAGTAATGTATACATTGTGCTTATGGACATTTCTAGCCCTTAGCAGCACTTGATAAATGTGTTATGAGCTGTAGCGGATGCTGTCGCTAGCTGCTTCTTGCTGTAACTTCCTCCCTCTTCCCCTGGTGCTCCTCGCACCTCCCAAATAAACCACTTGCTTCGTAAATTCTTGCCACAGGCATCAGTGATGAGATGGAGAATTTTCTTTAAATGTCCAATAACTATTTCAAAAGCAGATGATATTTTCACATTTTGGAGAATTTTGAAAAAGACTTTTAAAAATGTCACTGTATCCATGGCAGACATCTAATGAGGTTTTTCTCTTCTCCTTGATTACAAAACAACCGGGATTGTAACCCACATTTTGCTCCCTTGTGGGCTGGTCATGGATCTCATCTCTGGGGGGCATGATGGAAGTCCCTCAGGGTCCTGTTGTAATAGTCTTCTCTGATAACAGGGTATTTCGCTAACTTGGCCCAACAGGGAAGGACTGTGGCATCTTTGTATTGTTCTGGGAAGAATTCTGTACCCGTCCTGTTTCTTCCTTGGGGAGGCGTTATGTGGTAACATCGACCAGGACGTTATTCGTTATTCATGTAACCTCTTCTTCTTTGTTTCCCTCTCCCTCCCTGTGTCCCACTCTCCTCCCGACACTCTTCCAGGTGTGGTTTCAGAACCGAAGAGCCAAATTCCGCAGGAATGAGAGAGCCATGCTGGCCAATAAAAACGCTTCCCTCCTCAAATCCTACTCAGGGGACGTGACTGCTGTGGAGCAGCCCATCGTACCTCGTCCTGCTCCACGACCCACCGATTATCTCTCCTGGGGGACAGCCTCTCCGTACAGGTGAATGACTGGCCCAACCCCCCGCCCCTTGCTCCACTTCCACACGTTTCTCAGCGGTCGGTCACGTTTCAGAGCTGCTGGTGTGGCTGGCTGACATTTCTTACTGGGTTAACCTCTTCAGAGACATTCAACTTGCTGACACCCCCAGATTTTCATGGGAGATTACTAGTTGCCCCAGGAGCAGGGTTTGGGGCAGAAGAGAGAGGGACAGGCCATCAGCAATCTTCTCTTGGACTCAGGAACTCTTGCAAAGGTTTCAAAGATGGGGAAGAATCTAAAAGAAAAGATCATTAAGCTATGCCCAGAGTCCCTCTTGCAAACATTCAGGAACAAAACTTGACTCCAATTCCAAATTTAAGATGTGTTTCATTACGCTCAAGTAGAAATTTAACTTGTAAGGCTCCAAGTGTAGGCTCAAAGACAAACTTTATGGTAAAACTGATTTTGAATTAAAAGAAGAAAAGGAAGAAAAGGAAAAGGAAGGGAGGAAGGAAGGAGAGAGAGAGAGAGACAGAGAGGGAAGGAAGGGAAATCCACGACCATTCTGATCACGCTCATGGCCACAGTCCCTTGTTAGCAGGTAGGGATGTCTTATGATCCAAAATACCTCCTGTTCTATTGCAAATTCTTATCTACTTATCTGAAGTTCTTTGGGGGTCAGTTTGTCTGAGTGGGGTTTTTAAAATATTAAAAACAATGTATAATTTACACTAAACTTTTATATTAAAAAGGTGAAAAGATTTCAAGAAGCAAATAACAGAGTACTATTTCAATTTCTTGGAGAGGCTTTTTAAATCTCCATTTATTATGCTGTTCAGAAATACAGGTTAATGCCCAAGGGAAGTTGAGACCCAAGTGCCTAAAACATCATCATTGTTCCAAAGTGCCTTTCTTTGAACCAACCTAAACCTGAGTACTCTTAGAAACCGGGTCAAGGCTGCGTGCTCTCTGGCCAATTGCCAGAGGAAGTATTCACAAATTCACTTATTATGCTTTTATTTGCCTTTTTATTGTTAAGGTTAATTAACGCTTTAAGTAGAGGTCTTAAACTAGTTATAGGAGATTATTTCCCAGCGAAAGCTGAACTCCTGATATGAAATGCCACATTTGTGAAATGCAAATACTTTTCAAAAGTTGATGGTTTTAATCAAAGCATAAGATCTCACCTAAATGTTCTTTCTGTTCCAAATCAATTCCTTGAAAGAAATGCCATAAATGTATTTGGAATTTTTTTTAATCCCCCGTTGTGAAATTAGTCTGAATTACATTGGTCTTAGCACTTGGAGACCCCATACCTGGGAAATTGGAAATTTCTTCATCTCTCAGATATAGTAAGCCTTGCTGACTTCAAAAGATTAGCCCTATCTGTATGTCTGATTTAAAATTTAGACTCTTTTCCCATAGGACTTACTAAAACACATTTTGAAGACCATTGTGAAATCATATATTCTTTAATATTTTAAATAAGTAAAAGACTGCTTTGTTTCTCTGATAAATATTGATAGCTCACAGACTCATTAAATGGCTTGGGAAATGGATGTGGTTCAAAGCTTGATGTTTCAAGGTCTCTGGTTTGAATTTGGTCACGACCAGGAAGTATTATTCCTTTTCCTGCCTGGGTCCCAGTTAGGAACTTTTCACACCAGCTCTAAACCATCCAGATGGCTGCCATGTAGTCCTTACCAGTGGGAGTCTGAGGGCAGTACACTACCTACCTACCCTACGTGGGTAGGGCTCAAATTCTCCCTAAATTAATATTGGATCAGATTGCCTGCACCTCAACGAAAGGTCAAGCCCTAATGCCTACATCATACATATTTTGTATATGGGCATCTAACTGAAATTATTAACATGCAATTTATGTGTGCCTTTTTTGGAAATGTTCTATTTTATTTTACTAGATACATTTTTTAAAAACATTCATAATTGCATCATCTTAACATAACTAGTTTGATTATTTTTGCAGTTAGAGTTCAGTATTTTATATAGTGTAGCCTTAGTGTACATATTTTGTATTCTGCTGTTTTCATTTAAAAATCATATAAACTAGTGCTTTTTACTCATTTCAAGGTATACCTTTATATGATTTTTTTCTCTTAGATACTGAGTTTGTAAAAAAAATTAAAAATCGCATAGAATCTGATTGTTCATATTCTGTATGAAGAATAAATTAATCTCCAGATAGCAGTAGAAGAATGATGGTTTAAAATAGTAATTTAATCAGTATCAATGTTTTTGACCCAATGTTGACTGCAGTGTTTATATTTTGGTTAATTTCTAAAAGTGGCAAAGCTATTCTGTTACTCAGAGATTTTTCTGCTATGTTTAGAACCAAAATACATTATGGTTTCACATTTTGAAGCTTGGTAGGAAACATGTCTTGTTTAGGAAACATAAAAGAGAAACAAGTGATGAAAAGCAAAGGAAATGATAGACCTTTTGTGTTATAAAAAATTAACTGGCTATTTCTGTTGGTACATTTATGTCAAGTTAGTTATCTCACATGTGACGTTCATTAAAAGGCATTTCTTTTGGTTAATCCTTGGAACGCTCCTGTGTGCTAGCTCTGTCCTTGCTTTGGTTCCAAAGAAGAAACTGAACACTTGCTCAAGTTTAAGCCTTCAGCCAGCAGAATAAGACCCAGTGCTCGTGATCCCTGTGTCTGTCCAGCATATTAGGCCACATCACCATATTTTCATTCAAATTAAGCCTTACATTACATTGGACATAGTAAAAAGGGTAAGACCAGGAAACTGTGTAAACATGCCCTTTTGATTCAGTGTCTATCTCAGATCAGTGAAGCACGCCTGCGGCCGAGATCCACCTTCTGGGGTGTGTGAGCATCCCCTTGGGATGACTGATGTGGCTTGGTCATGCAATCCAGGGACAGTGAGCAGACAGTTTTGCCAGAGAGGATGCCTTGCTGATTTCCACAACTCTCCCCTGAAAGAGGAGAGGAGGAAACCAAGACTCAAAGCAATTGTTTGCATGTGGTCAGAATTATGGGATGGAATAGAGCCAACACATTTTTTTCTGGGTGTCTTTTATACCCAGAGTGGTGGCTGTATAATTTATCATCCAGGCTGGGACACTTTTGAGAGTGAAAGGGGAGTGCTATTAATAATGACACCAGAACAACAGGCGTCACAGGAGACATATATGGTTCACCCTATCTATAGCACGACATGGCCCCGTCCGTTCCCTTGAGCATGTTACAGATGATGGTGTCAGGCAGGCAACTGAGTCACCAGGAGGCGCAAAGAGTTCTCTAACACAGACAGTACTGTCCTAGCAGGTGTCGTCTTTATCTACCCATAGCCAGCGGAGGGAAGCTTGTTTTGGCACATTTGCCCACTGCTTAGCTCAGAACTGTTTTCCGTAGGCAAAGGAGGGCGCGCCCAGCACCAGAGGTATTAAGACTAACAAATATTGTGGTGCTTTGCCTCTTGGGGAGCAGCGATCAACCACATCCCAGACTTTTAATGGTTATTCTAGGTTTTAAGTAGTCAAGAAGCATCTCCCCAGAGACATCCTCTCCTATGGGAGCTAGAGAATGACCTGGATCTGCAGTGCCAGTTCCAGAGGGAGGACTGGGCTTCAAAGAAAACTAGTGACAGGCAAGAGAGCGGCCAGCCGTCCCTGTCCACGGCTCCCCTCCCCATCCTTCTCCTCCTCCCCCATTTGATCGTGGTCACGGTGCTGCCTGACATCCGCTGAACGCATTTGGCTCATTTCTCCCTTTCACGCTTTCAAAAATAGATCCTCGTCCCTCCCAAGATGTTGTTTACACGAGGGGCTTCATAACGGATTCTAACGGAAGACACTGAAAAGGTAACTTGTCAGAGGGGGAAGAGGGTGGCTGCTGGGGGTAGGGTTTAAGTGGGAATGAAGTGTGTTCAAGAAAGTGGGTCTTGCAGTTTTAGCAATGCCTCCAGGGAAGTCTTCAAGTGGGGAATACTATGGGAAACCAGAGCTGCAGGCATATATGTCCATAAAGTTAAGGGTAGTCGGATAGCCTAGAGCAGGGCTCCTCCAAGACTACTGAGCGTGTGAATCGCCTGGGATCGGGTTGCAATGCAGACTCATTCTGTAAGTCTGGAGCAGGACTCAGGGTCTGCACCTCTAACTTGCTTGCCTGTGATGCTGATGCTACTGACACTCAGTATTCGGTGACCGTAGGATATGGGGCAGGGGTCGGGAGAACTGTGTGCTTGTCCTGGCACCTGCTGCTCCCCAGGCCAGTTGGATCATCAGGCTCTTATGTAGCCTTGCATCTAAGGTCAGCTAGCAATGTTTCCCTACTACATAGCTCACAGGGGCACTTGATTCCAGGTAGTCCATGTGCATTTCAAAAAAGAGACACAAAAGTCCTTGAGACAAGAGAAAGATACAAGCCTCCGTGTATAAAAACATTTCTAGAAAGAAAAGTTGAATATGGCAGAGGCTCACTGAAAGAGCAGTGCAAACTGAAGGCTCATGCAGGAAATATGGTCCACGTTGGATCTGCTTTAAGAGCTAAATACGCGTTTAAAAAATCAACTTCTGAATTTCAGAACAGAAGTTAGAAATGCTTATTTAAATCACAAAAGATCACTTCCAAAAGGATTTATGGGGTCTCTCTTTAGAAGTAAATTTCCATAGGAAAGCTGGCGTGGAGTTGTCTCAGATGAAGCAGGTATACCTCTGTTCCCACACTGACAAATGCACAAGCAGAAAGATGGTCTCCAACCTCCACACATCACAGACAGAGTCACAAAAGCCTCACGCTCTACAGCCTTTGGAAAAATCCCAAGCTGGTGAAACCTTAGGATCTCAGGATGACACACAGACTTCTCGAGCTGACAGATTTGTCTTTGGGGGGGAATTTTCAACAGCTTGTCATCATTTGTCCAAGAGGGCCAAAGAAAAAACAAAGTTAGAGCTGAAAACTGAGGCAGGCATTATTTTTCCCCCAGCGCTCCTCAATTGTTTGGTGATTTGTGGGGCGTACACCACGGGTGATTCGACAGCAGAGGGGCAGATGCCCATAAGTTTCCTGGCTTTAGAATCATACCGTATATAGAATTTTCCATGCTTCCTTGGTGTTTGGCAGTCATGTGAACACGTTCCTCCTCCTGACAACCTTTCGGGGTAGGTTGAAATGATCAAAAATGATTTGTCCCCAGTGCAAATGGAACTCGAACCCTGCCGTGGTTAGCATTCTGCTGTCTGTGGCTGAGCTTCATCTGTTAGGAATCTCCAAATAAGGAGATGGAAAAATTTCAAGCTTACTTAAATTTGTCAGCTCTGTACAAGTCCTGGTGCAGAGCTGCTGAATCAACAGATGGGAATACAAGCATTTCTTTTTCATCTCCAGTTCCTCAAGGCACTTTATTTGGCAATGCAGTTTCTCGGTCACAGACACAAAGAACTGACATTCTTAAAAACTTGAGAGAAATGATGCTTTCGCCAAATCCTGTAAACTCAGTCCCTGTACTCAGCTCGTGTCTGTGTCCTGTTAGAAGAGCAGGTGGTTCTTAGAAGGCAGGACCAATGGGCAGGATCTCTCAGTGTTGGTAAGCAGGCTCTTGGCGTTATCATGTGCTTAATCGATACAAATCACTTAGTTTCTGTCTCACTTTCTGATCCGGGGAAGCTTGATCCTGTGTAGGAATGAGTGGGCACTTTACATTTTGAATGGTCCTATAAAATTGGTCGAAAACAGCTAATTAACCCTCCTTGGTTTCATCTTGTTAGAAAACGTTTCAAGGTTCTCTCTTTTCCTAACATAGACCTTTATAAGTTTTGGTGGCATGGAAAACAGGTGGTCACAAAAAATCTTTCACACTGGCAGCCAGTCAAGGCTCTCTTGCATCTGTTGTCTCTCTGGGAAGCGAGTCCTCTCCAACTTACTTTTCATGCTGTTTTTAAAGCATGACTAAGCTGCTCTAGAGTACCCACTCATTAATTCTGTCTTCTCTGACCTGTCACAAGTCTTGCTTGTCCCTGGTATGTCAACGGACTGCCCACTGCATTCCTCTATGGCTCTTTTAGTGCAAGTTGAGAAACTAGACTTGCAATTCTTTAGTATGTGCACAGAATATCACTATGGTCTCTACTTGCAGGGTTATATATTCTAAACATTGGTTAAAAGGCTATGAAGTTAAGACTGGCTCTGTTCTTTTATCCTACTTCTTAGAGCTACACAATGCGCTGGAGTAAGTTGGATCCATTTTTGAAAGTTTATAACTTTCCTAAACACTTATCAAGGGCAAATTAAGCTCCTAGGGAATTGCAAAACTCATTCATTAATATCAGCTGCCTTTTTAATCTTCATGCCCCACTAACTTGAGGGCCACCTACGAGGCATTATCTCAGTGTCACTAATGCAGTGGTGTCCTTTTACTGACACCACAGTACAATCGGACAAGGGTACTTTCTTGACTCTAGAAACTCAAGCTTCCATTTAAGGGAAAGTGTCCCAGTGAAAACCCAATTTCCTGTGCAATGTATAACTCTAATTTGCACTGATTTGGTTTTGAAGATGGAAAACGGATTATTTTCTGGCCTGCCTTCTCTCTAGAGAATCTCAGTCTTTCCAAGAGATGTGCTACCATATGAAGTCTTAAGATTAAAATATCAGATGAAGTTTGTAAACTGTGAAGCAACTATAGCACGAGTGGCTGTAAAATAGATAAAATAGATAATATTGAAGTCACAGCTATAGTAGACATTTCTAGAAAACAGTGATAACGTCTTCAGTAAACAAAAATAATCCCACAAGGTTCAAGTCCCCTTTGTCTACTATGGAAAACGGACTACACCTTTGATCATCAAAAAAGGAGAGAATCTCTATTAACTAAGACTTTGCTTGCCTAGGGCCTCAAAGGCTGGAAAATGGATCCCTTAGAAAATTAGATCAAGTACCTGAAAGAGCAATACTCCATGACAATCTACAATTTACCATCAGAGAATTTTTTCTTTATGCTCTCTCATAGTTTTAGCCTTCTGTTTCCAGAAGCCATCCAATTTTATTCTCAGTGTTTAACAAATAATACAGACAACTCACCATTTCAGCTTCTCTCTTATGCACTTTAAATGGTACTATGTACCATCTTCAGGATTTAATTCTGTCACAGAAACCTGGTTGAGAAAGGCTGATTTGATTCATTTCATGATCTATAACTTAGGAACATTTCCCAAACCCAACTGTCTCTTTTCTTAACTACTTACATCTTTGATTTCACTGAAACCTTAGGTTTCAGTATATCCTAGCAATTTCTTAAGTGTAGGATTTACGGGTTTGCATATATTTCTGGTAGTGTCTTGAATGGAAGCAAGTAATTCATATAAAAATTAAATGAGGATACGTATATGGGTTTTGAAAATAAATCAAAATTTTTCGTATATAACCAAAAACAAAACAAACAAACAAAAAACTTGTCCCTGGGTTGTTCTGATCATTTATGTCACTCCTAATTGAAACCTATCTTAACTGGGGATTCTTTCTGCCCTTTTGGTAGACAGTGGTAAAAGTGATAGTCTGTTGCATAAGTCTAACTTGTACTAACATTTGTTCATTTTTTACTATTAAAAGATATTTTTGATGGATCAAGAATATGTAGTCATCAGCCCCTGCTTTTGTCTTGTCCCTTCGATTTTGCTCATTCTATTAAGAGAGCAAAATTAATAGGAAGGACTAATTCCTAAAGATAAAAACATATTGGTAAACATTTTTTAGAGATTTTATTTATTTATTTGAGAGAAAGAGTGATGAGAGAGAGTGAGAGCTCAAGTGGGGGGAGGGGCAGAGGGAGAGGGAGAAGCAGACTTCCTGATGAGCAGGGAACCCAACATGGGGCTCGATCCCAGGATCCCGGGATCATGACCTGAGTCAGGACTCTGAGATCATGACCTGAGCCGAAGGCAGACAGTTAACTGATGAGCCACCCAGGTGTCCCTGGTAAAATATTTTTAAAAAATCATTACTCACAGCAGGATGACAGAGATCATTGACATTGAGCAGGAATTCATTTAATCATACTAGATATTTCTCAGTTATCTATTCATTAAAAGCTTTCTTGAGTATCAGATATGTGCCAGATATGATGTTAGCTCTACCTGGGGATATAGTGGTGAACGAGGTCAGATGCGGTATCCGATCTATGAGCTTATAGTTGAAGAATTGAAATAAGTGCGAAAAGGGAAATTACAGCGTGCTCCAGGAGAACCTAACTTTGTGTAGATGGTTAAGAGCATCTACTCGGAAATGGGTAAGAGTGAACCAGGCAAAAATGAAATGGAAGAATGTAGGATTCTTTTGGAACCCTACTGAGTCTTCCTCCCTCTGCCTTAACACACACACACACACACACACACACCAGTGCTATAAGGATTTTAAATTAAGGATGTGTATTTCTGGAGAGACCTAGTGATCTGGGACTAATTATATTTCATTAACCTAATTTTCCTGGGTTAATTGCTAGTAAGTGAGCTGAAATAGGCTATTGTGAGTCTTGACTATAAGTCTCGACTATATGGTCTCCCAAATAAGGATTCATGACACAGTCTATTTGTAGAGTAGCTTTAGTTTTTTGTCTTTCTGGTCTGTCACTTGATCCCCAGAACCACAAACTCCTGTGTGGCCGGTAAAATTGCACTGGAATGCAGGGCAATAGCGGAGCGTGTGTCATTCTATTTATAAGTCTATCTCATTTCAGGCCTCAGTTGAAAGGGATTTTGCTAATCTTAGAAACAACTAGAAACATTTTCATTTAATTAAAATGAGTTCCCTTTTAACTGTTTAGTAGATAGTAATGAATAACTTGCCTCCAGGTCTAAGAGACCACTACTTTTTCCCTTAAAAGAAATTCATGGATTCGATTAACAGAAAACCACCAAATGCACATTTCTGTCCAGCTGCATTTCTAGGTCTTAATTACCCTCTCTGACAACAGGAATCAACTTCAGGTTTTTCTCAGGAATAAGGACAAAGAGAAACAGTTACCTCTGAGGTCAGGAATCCTGAAACTGGCTGGAGCCTTTACTTGTTTATCTAGGGGATTTAAACATTTCCCAAATAACCGACCCAAAAGGCATCCTGAGCTACGCAAGTCCTTTTGAGAAGAAGCTATAAACAAGGCCAGTCAGGATAGGAAGCTCCGGATTTGGCCATACTTAGTGCTACCAACCATTGAATCAAGAATGGGTTGCTCACCTGGTTCTCAAGTACGCTATTTAGCATGGTATCCACTGATGACCTAAAATGTGTTAGACTTAAAGTCAGCTACTTAAAGTGAAGAGGGCAAAATGCCCTTTCCTTTTCAAATGCCTGCTTCTCTTGCTCGCTGCTCCCACAGGCTGGTGATGGAGGCAGAGAGAGGGATTAAATACTGTTTCAGTTGGTCGGCCGATGAAATATCCTTCTATTCAACATAAGCAGCTTTCTCCTCTCACCCCAGAGATAAATTATCACACACCATGTCCAACATGGCAAATACCTCTCCCTGCCCTATTCCACTCTCCCCTGCCTTTCCCCTGCCCTTCTGAACACTGCCATCCTTTTCCAAGTGCCTTAGACCAGTGGAAACCTGGGGCTGAAAGGGACCTCAGAGGTCATCCATCCAGCCCACCTGGCCCCGCCTGCCCCGTGCTGAGAGGTGCATCCATCTGGGGCACAGACTTGCAGCTTCGTGAAACTAATGTCTGTTATTCTCCCCGCTCTCTCCTTTGTCCCTACAGCGCCATGGCTACTTACTCTGCCACATGTGCCAACAATAGCCCTGCACAGGGCATCAACATGGCCAACAGCATTGCCAACCTGAGACTGAAGGCCAAGGAATATAGTTTACAGAGGAACCAGGTGCCAACAGTCAACTGAGGAAAAAAATATAATTAAACAGGCCTAAGAAGAAATCAAAAACCATAAGACACCTATCCTGCTCTGTCATTTCTTCATCTGCTGGAAAAAAATAAATAAAAACAAACAAACAAACAAAAAACCTGAACTAAAATATTGGGACCATGGCAGAGAAAAGCAGGAGAGGAGCAAAATGAAAATTAGTTAACCAATGTTTCTCCTCCCTCTGAGATACCACCACCACTTGTTTCTGCGTGTGTTAATTTTGTTTTTCCTTCTACTCATGCGCTTTGCTTTAATATACTCCAAGCTTCTTCAGTTAGGTTCAGCCCACCCACTCCCATGATCGTATGGGTTTACAAAAAAAAAAAAAAAAAAAAAACTACAGCAGCCAAAGAAACCATATATATAGTCAGAATCATTGTCTAGCGTCTCCTCAGTGACCTGTTTGAACCTCAGTGCCTTGCCCTATCCTTCTTCCCAGTTCTCTGTATAGAAACTCTAGGAACTTCTGAAAAGCCAAAGTCTTTCTGAAGAATCTGTGCCAGATATGATTTCCTGTCTCATTTTCTCCGTGTCTGTCAGTCATGGTAAGGTTTTTCCATCAGCTACTGTTAAGAAAGCAATTATGTACAACATCTGGTCACTGGTTTGTCTGATCCAATGTGATTGGCTGTGTCTGGCTAATTCTAAGCTCTAAGCTGTAGATCTAAGCTCTCCATATAAGCTATAGATTTAAGCTCTAAGCTGTAGATGATAATATCACCATCACCACCACCCCTCACCCCCATCCAAGCAATCAGCCATCTTAAGTTAAAGATATTTGTTGTTTTTGAATGATTTGCTGTCACGAGCTTGACACTCGAGAGAGGGAGAGACATTTCTTTAGGAAAACAAAGACTGAGTTGTGAAAGGCATGGCCTATATCTCTTTAGTGCCTTAAGGATAGTCAGATGCACACTTATATATATACTGTATATATTTATATATTTTATATATATATATATAAAATATTCTTGCAAGCTTGAGTTTGCAGTTTCTCAAACACTACAAAGAAACAATTTTACACCATCACCACTGTCCTTAATCTCTCCAGTGATGAGATGTTTTTAAGGATCTTGTTTCCTTTCTTTCTCAACATAAAATTCTCATTAAGGCCACAGAGCGATTGATAGGGCATTTGTTTAAGAACAGGTCTCATTTTCACATTTGGGCTTTAAATAAATTAGAACCTATTTGAGGCTATAAAAATGTTCTTGAGTTTGGAGGCTGAGCTCTGGTGGAATGGGAATATATCCCAATACATCATGGGAATTACATTTAGAGGAGTGAAAGCCATGTCGTCATCTGCCCCTTCTCCACTCAACAGGAATCTGAAAGACATGTGTTTAAATGGAATCCTTAAAGTCTTGTCTAAATTCCAAAAATTTAAAAGGCAACTGTGGGCTAGTCTTTTACTAATATTTTGAAATAAAGTTTAGTGCCTAGGGCTGTGAGCTGGGACTGACCTGTCTTTGTTTCTTTCTTTTTGTCTCCAGCTGTGCTTTTATAACTTGTCAGGTGGACTAGACCAAACCACACCACCATGCTGTGCCTCAGTTTACCTTTTTGTAAAAGGGGTTTAACAATACTTACCTACCTCACAGGGGTGTTGTGAGGCTCTATTCATTTGCTCCTTCATTCTTTCCTGTATTCTCTGTTTGTGCAGCACTTTGTAGCCATGGGAGGAAAGGGACTATAAAAGTAGACAATGTTAATGGAAGGATACGGTACCTGGAAGCCTTGTTTTCTAGCAAGGAAATGCTACCTTACTTTAAATACTTATAGCCTTGTATTTGGAAATGAGAAATAGGTTTATACTTACAGACCTCTCAAAAATCACATCACTTGACCAAAGAATAATTTAAGATACACAGAACAGACATATTTTTGACATATTTTTATCCTGACCAGGTTGGTTCTAATAACTTTAGTTATCAGTAATTAAAAAGCTTTAGATTGGTTTTGGCCAAATATGCCAACTCTGAGTGACAGGCATGGACTATTGAGTTTAAGATGCACTTTCAGCACATTTGTTACCCCCTTGGCCTATCAAGTTGAACTAATGGTGGTATTTTTTCAGCCAAACAGCCACCAGTCTGAAAATGTATTTTAAATGTTGAATCTGTACTTCTTTTAATAACAAGAAGAAAGCCCACCTTACGCATTTTGCTTTCATCCACTGATTCCCTCTTCTTTTAGCATACTATTAAAATATTTCTTACTGATGTTTCATGTAGGCTGGCTGAACACCACATATTACTTGCTTCCTAAGGAGTCCCTTGACTAATTCTTTTGTCCCACTAGCTGCTGTGGGCTATCAAGATTCAAAGGAACAGTGTAGTCTAACAGATGAAAACGTTCTTTGTGAAATGAATGTGATCCAAGAAATTGGCCAACTTTTGGAGTTTAGACTTTGGGGAGAATAGCTAAAAGTGAGTTTGGGTTATAGTGCAAGGAACAGAAATCATACATGACGAGATGCTGCTAGGAAAGGGGAATTTTTGAAGAGGGAAGAAAGGAATAGAAGGTCATGTGAAACAGTCATTTGAAGCTTGCACCCTGACATCCGTTTTCAGGGGTGAACAGAAAAGCCTGAACCCCAAATCCAAACACTATGTGAAACTGGGCAGTTTTACCACCAATGCCTGGGAAGCAAGAGAGTAGCCAGCGCTGGTCAGCCATAGAAATTTTCATTGCTAGTGAATCAACACCACAAACATTTATTATCTAAGCACCTGATCAAAAAGTATACACATGAGACAAGCACTCAGTATTGTTCATTTATTATTGATTTTTTTTTAAAGTAGAAGTTTGATATATGATTTAGAGGAGTAGCCTTTTGGCTTCCAAGCCAGGTCTCAACAGAGGACCTCAGGCCAACAAAGTTCCAAGGCATACCCCCTGTTCCTCACCATCATTATACCCAGATGCAGATGAATACATGCAAACTATCTGTCTGTGTCCCCAGTCCCTCCCCAAACAAGATGCTGATTTGTAGGATACTTGGCAGGTTAAGTCAAACCAGAAGAGGTGATTGAATAAAAAAGGGAATGACACGTAGGGTATAAAGATCTCGTAAGAAATGTAATATGTAAATTATATCTTGCTTTATGATGTAAAATATACATTGTTTGCGCTAGAATAGAAATGATTCCTTTTCAATAAAAAGAAGGATACTACTATGCAGTCTTTTGTTATATACATTTGAGTCTGCTGATTCTTTTCTCTTTGAACTTCAAAAATAGATCTGCTAGGACCTAAGGGTACATGTAGGAAAGAGTGAAGGTAAGAGGGATTTGTGAATAGAACTTTTATTGGAGTGTGATAGTATTGCCTAAAGATGAAAATAATCTATTCCTCAAAAGCAAAGACAATGGTGTGAGGGAGAGGGAGCATTTATTGGTAAAATGGGTAAAGTGAAACTTTTATGAGAACTTAGTTATTTTTTACCCACTTCTTTAGAATCCACAACATCAGCTATATATGACAAAACAGACAAAATATAAAGCACAGGCTTTTATTTTAGAATAAAGAAATAGAATAAAATTTAAGTACCTATTGTGTTTAGCGCTGGGTGTGTGGTAATGGTGGGGGGGGGGGCGGGCATAGAAAACCAAATTGGGAGACATGGGTTCTGTTTTCATACAGATTAAGATCTGATTTAAAAGGGAACTCTATGATGAAACAATGTATGTAACAGTTCAAGACAATAAATGAATGTGTCAAACAAATTGAGTGGACAGGAGTCCAGAAGAGGAAGAAGGAAACACTGAGCTGAAGTGGGAGAGGGTTTTGAGGAAGAACTGGGACTGTTTAATCAGCTGGGACTGGGAGGGGAGGGGGTGCCACCTTCAAGTCAGAGAGTGGAAAAGGGATGAAGGTGGGGACACAGGAAGGAGGAATTTATGTTCAGGGACCATGGCAATATGGGCGCAGATGGAATGGAGGGTTCATTTTGAAGCCTCGTGGAAGAAAACACTGGAGATTGGGCCTTCATCTTGCAGAGTATGGTGTGTCAGGACAAAAGAGTTTGGAATTTTGCTCAGGCCATAGAAATCCATTGAAAGTTATTAAGCAGGGGGGAAAAAAAAGAGGTCATGCAAAAAATACTACTTTAGCAGGATTATTATGGTAAAAGAATGAAGATAAGCCAGAGGAGAACTGAAACTAGAAGCAGAAGAGCAGTTAGAAAGGGGACAAAAAGCAAAGGTTGAATAAGAAACATCTTGCAAGAAAAGAATTAACAAGACTATGGCAGGAAAAAGAGAATAGAGTCTAAGATAACACTGGTTTGAAACCTGGGAATAGGAAAATGAATCACAGACAAAACTGACAAAAATCAACAGAAACAGGGGAGACTCAGTGACAAAAGACAGTAAAAGCAGTTTTAGGTGTGTTAACTGAATTTGAAAACAAATATAAGTTAAGATCTGAAAGCTTGGCTTGAAACCAAAGTAAAAAATGGAGATAGAACTTTGGGATTCAGGGCGCCGGGGTGGCTCAGTCGTTAAGCCTCTGCCAGGGTCCTGGGATAGAGCCCCGCATCAGGCTCCTTGCTCAGTGGGAAGCCTGCTTCTCCCTCTCACACTCCCCTTGCTTGTGTTCCCTCTCTCGCTGTCTCTCTCTCTGTGTCAAATAAATAAACAAAATCTTTAAAAAAAAAAAAAAAGAACTTTGAGATTCATCTTTAAGGAGGTGGTACCTTGAGGTACAAAAATGAATGAGTTCTTCGAGAGGAGAAAGCATCTTGTGCTTCCATCGGAAGTGTAGTGGACCCTTGAACAACAAATTTTTGAACTATACAGGTTGACTTCTGGCTTCTGGTCAAGAGTAGGTATTAGTAGTTAAGTTTTGGGGGAGTTGAAAGTTTTACATGGATTTTTGACTGCATTGGGGGCAGTGCCCCTCACCCCATGTTGTTCAGAGGGTCAACTGTAGTTTTCAGCCCAGGGAGGAAGATTAGACTTTGTAGAACATCTACACTTAGAGGTGAGAGCTACAGAAGGCAATTTACGAGGAACTGTTTGAGAAATAGGAGGATCAGGTTGTTTGTTATCCCAGAGTTAAGAAAAGAGGAGTCTTCAAAGAGAAGGGAATGTTTAGTATACTCAAATACTGAGAGCAGACCAGCTTAATCGGGGATGTAGGAAAGGCCATTGGACGCATGATTTTCTCGAGTACAGTTTACTACAGTGCTCGAGGAAGAAGGCACATTTTGACAAGTCATGGTAAGAACGAGTGCTATAAAAAAAATGGAAATGGAAGCATTGACTTATAGAGCACTTGCTTGAGACACTTCGGCACTGAAAGTTTAATAAGGATTCTTTTAGCTACAAGTGGCAGAGACCTACCAACTGGTTCAAATCACAAGGGATTTTATTTAAAACCCACTAAGGTTGCCCACTGAACCCAAAGAAGTATTGCTGGAGGCAGAGCAACTCCTGGGATCCCAGATGCTGGAATAAGGCCCATACCCTTAGACCAGACAAGGTCCATACACCCTGCCCTGGAGCCCACCAGCACTCTTCTGACTGTGTCCCTCCTCTGGGCAACAAGTTTGCAGGGCCAACTCGATGTGCTCACCTGGAACCTGCACTCCTCATTGTAAAACATCCGTCAAGCACTTGGGATTTAGAATTCCCTGTCCCAATAATCTGGAGCCCACTTTCAGGGCCCACATGGGCCTCTCTTCGTAGGACCACTGTTTGTGGGGGTCAGGGTGTATAGATGGATCTTGGATGTACACAATGCAGTTGCCACCTTTGTATGGGGAGGCCTACTTTTGGCACAGGATGGGCTGATGTGAAATGGAAGTGGGCAAGTCACAGGTTGGGGCTCTAGGGTCTGACCATCCCTACACTGCCATATTCTGGAAAGGAACTTCAAAGAGTTTGAGAATTCTACAGGTCTACCTGAATTTCCAGGTCATTATGAAAGTATATTCATTACAATAAGAGTGTAGGACATAATTGTGGAATAGTTTGTTAGTTTGATTGATAACAGAAATGTATGGATGTAAACATGTGGACTTTCATTTGTACTCTTCCCTGGACAATGCCCAGTGGATGAGCGCCATACACCTCTTTTAAGATCTGGCTTGGTTACCTTTTGGTTCACTTTCTGGAGATTCCATTAAACAGAAATCAATATCAGAAATCTTCTTGAGATGTAATTCTTGAATGTGGATCCATCCTGGCCCCATCTTTTTTTCTCTCAGAAACAGGACTCAGAGCTCTGCTCACCCCTAAGCCTCAGTTTAAAGGCTTCATTTAGTCTTCTTGCTTGGGACAGGCTGACAGAAGAGTTTTGAAGAGTTAACCTGCCCCCTCTCCTCAGCAGCATCTCAGTATATGGTGCTTTACAGTGGATGGGATCTTGACACTTTGCATCAGGCTTGTGGGGAGAAGGGACAACAGAGAGGTTTGGGAAAGGGCTGAGAAAGACTTCCAGTTATTTCTCTAGCTCCTTCTAAGCCCCTATACTTTACACTGTGTCTCACACCTTCTGACTGTGCTTGAAAATAGGGAAATCTTACGTTTTGCAGAGTTTGCTATTGTCTGACCCTTGGGAGTCTTGAAGGTCTGGCATTGGGTAGAAATCCTCCCTGTTCTACCAAGTACCTTAGGTCATCTGGTTTTAGATTTCAAGGCCTATAATAAACAATGCTCCACTTTTACCTATCAATTTCTATATTGTCAGATACATTTCAGTTTCAAGTGGCAGAAACCCAACACAAATTAGGCTGAGATGGTTTAATTAGGGGATTTGTTAGGTGGATGGGGGGTAGGTCAAAGAATGAAAGGAGGAGCTATAAGGAACTACGGTAGCTCTGAAAACCTCAGGCACTAGAACTGAGACTTGACATCACCAGAACTCTCTGTCTGCCTCTCATCTCTGCAGGTAAGTTTTCTCCATGTAGCAGGGAAAATGCCTACTACCTCCATCCATTTCACTTTGGGAAAAAGATCAGAGAAACAAGCTCTTGTTACAAAAATCCTGGGGGAAGACTCTATTGTTCTGATTTGTTTTGTGGACAGCCATGACCTGGGCACTGTGTCCTGCGGGTGGAGGGGTACTGAGCATCCAGAGCAGGGTGCCTGCCTATATCAGGCACCACTTGGGCACCAACAAAATTTCTTTTGTCCCAATCTCTAATTCTAGGCACTACTGCAGCACTCAGTCTCCAGCATATTTCAATTTTGGGGGCCATATTTTAAAAATGGTAAAGCAGCAGTCAACCTTGGACCTTGAAAAGTGACTACAGGAAGCAAAGCTACAACCCTTGCTGACCAGGAACCATCTTGGAGTGTTATATGACTGAAAAATAAAGTTCTATTATGTTTAGCCATTATACAACTAGGTCTATTTGTTACTGCAACCTAGCCCAACCTAATACACCTCCCTCTTTCTTCTCTCTTTCCCTCTTTGTTCCCTCCCTCCCACCTCCCTCCAGCCTTTCTTTCTTCCCTCCTTCCTTCTTTCTTTCCTTCCTTCCTTCCTTCACATCCTTCCTTCCTTCCTTCTTCCTTTTCTTCCTTTCTTCTATACTACCTGCATTTCAAGATGCTTATTGTATCTCATAGACTTATAACTCTCAATGACCACGTATTCTAATTCTCCCACACTGGACATTATATGGTTATCCATATAATGGACCTTGTGCCTTTTGGATTACCCCTACTAAGGTAATTAAACATAATAGTAAATTAATACACTAAATAACACTTCAGTAAATTAATGCCTAACACTCTGGACTTCCTGGAAAATATCTCTCAAAATGTGATTCTAGTTATAAAAAAGTAGCATTCCTGAAAAGGAGATAGCCAGGTCATCTACAAATTGAAGGCATCTGAAAACTATTTCTTAGAGTCATATATTTATTTGCTTAGTGTCACTCAGTTAAGAAGAGGTAAATTAAGGCTAGCAAAACTGGACAGCTAGAGAAACTCACACATGTGCACATGAAGACATGAACAAAAATTTTCATTACAGAATGATTTGCAATAAAATATTGGAAACAAATGAAATGTCCATCAATGGGAAAATAAATAAACTGTGATATATTCATATAATGGAATACTATTCAGAAATTAAAAAATGAATGAAAGAACCATGGCTACACATATCCACTTGGATATCTTTCAGAAACATAATTTTGAGGGGAAAAAATAAGTTACAG